ATGCATGTGCAGAAGCACTGCGCACACAGGGAAGCATGCCTCAACTGGTAGTAAAAATATTTGCAACCCACCACTGTTTACAATCCACTGTAAATTTGAGAGGTGAGAGACTGGTTATATCTATTAAAAATAGTAAAAATTAGATTTAAAATCTAGGCCTTTGTTAAGGGGGGGGGGAATTACCCTTATTTGCATAAGAATTAGTATGTCTCCTTAATTTCAGTACTTTTCCATTTGATGGGGTAGTTCTGTTGGAACTACAGTGTGAACTTAGTCTTCTCCAAACAGTATCTTTCAAACTCTATAATCGCCAGTTAGAATAGTCATTGAGTTTACTGGCCAGGGGTTAGGACAACTAGAAATCTAACAGATTTAGAAAACACTAGTTTGGGGAAGGCTGATGTTCTTCTATAAAGATAGTGATGTTCCTATTGCCCACACTTTTAACTTCCATCTAGGAGTTTATTTTAACTTTTTTTTTCCAAATATGACTTTTCTCCTTATATTTAAATGGTACAGCCACTTTTTTTCTCTCTATAAGCTTTAAAATGGAAGATACTGGGCTTGGCTACATTAGCATTGTTTGGGCACTGCTTTCCACAATCATCTAAAAATAAAACCAATGGCAGAATCTGTACATTATACAAACCATGATGTGGTTTTCCGAAAGGTGCTTTTACAATGGCAACTAGACTTTCTTGGGGTTTGCTTGTTTTTTAAAAAACATTTTGTTTCTCACCAAAGAAGCTTCTTCAGTTTAACTTGGATGAGACGTGAAATGTTTTCAAAGTACAAAAAAACCAAGAAAGTCCAGTTGCCTTTTGGAAAAGCATCTTTGGAACAACCATGGATGATTGACAATCTCTACAGACCTAACATGGTTTCCTTCTCTTTGCTTTAGTTGTATGCACAAACCAAGGTTTATAGTTTATAAAACTGGCCTAACACTGTATAAACCTTGGCCCTTATGGCTTATTCTACACACTACACAGACTGACACACTCACATGTGTTACAGTGAAAATGTGTTCTTTCCCCACCTTGGAAGAATATATAAGTATTTCAATTAAGAAAGTTTGATTTATATTGAACAGTAATGTACTTATAAACTGACAACTTTCTTTTCTGCTTATATAAGCACTCAAGTTGGCTATCAAGAATAGTGCAATAAAGCTTACAAAAGGGCATTTTTGAGACAAGACAGAATACATATGCACAGTATATGGCCAACCTCTTAACTAACCTGAATAAAATCTAGCAGGTAAATTTAAGCAGCAGGTACTAGGTTGATATGTGTTAACTTTGTTTAAGCTTTGGGGCACTTATTTTCTATTTTGTGCAAAGATGTTGTGTGATCCAGCCTGTTAGGCTAATTTATGGCTCAGCTGTGCAAATACAGAAAATCATTTAATTAAATAACCAGGTAAAATATGTTTCAGGAATGTAGCCAAACCAAACCAGCTCCCTCCTCAATTTGCCTGCTTTGCAGACAAGGAATTCCCAATCCTAGCCTTTTTCACTTCCGCATAAATCTGCTTAGCTAGCATGGCCAATAGTTGGGATGGATTTATAGTTCATCCCAGCCAAAGGCCACCAGCAAGAAGTAATTAGACAGAAGGCGGAGGTCTCCTAAAGGAGCAGTATTGCTGGTAAGCTTTATTGGCAGATTGCCTGCATGTACCCAACACGCTTGTGTTGAAGTTTTGAAAAGATGCCATTGGTGCAGTTTAAAAAAGAGTGAAAGGTGTTTCAGAAAACTCAATATAAATCCAATTAAACCTGTTGTGGATTGGCTACTCTGTAAGAAGTGAGTAAACCACAAAAAGCAGTATCAAGCATAGCATCTACTAGGCACAGACTGATTAATTTCTTAAACCTTTATATATTCCAGGAAAATTGTTGTGCTATATACCACATCTCTACTCCCACTGTACATTTAATAATAATAAGCATCACTCATGAATATGTGGGGGATGCTAACATGTCCTTTTCTTTGCCATACAATTAACCCAACATGTCAATTAAGAACTAATGTGATTTTATAGAGAAAATCATTCTGACTTTGAAGGTTAGGTGTAACCTCATTTTAACAATACTATAGGGTAGTCCATGCTTAAGGACATAATCTTAATCATGCAACAAAGTGGTCATTAAGCAAGATGCCATGTGACCATTTTACTTAATAACTACACTCAGCACTCCTAGTTGTGCTTGTAAAGCAAGCTGGTGGATCATTAAGTGGAATCCCAAGTAAGAGATGTGGGGTGCCTCAAGGGACTGGAGGACCCTCAGCGCAGACTCTATGCTCAGGAGCTGAAAATCTTTTCTGTCAGATTCTAAGCAGGATTTTCAACCCCTGAAAAAGAGACACCTGCATTTGCCCTGTGTGGGTCTTCGTCACCGCAAGGCACTCCACATTGCTTGCTGTACTTTATTATGCTGCCATTCCTCAGAAGCTGGAAATCTTCCTTGCCAAAACCCAAGCAGGATTTTCAGCCCCTAAGCAGGGAAACTCTCATAGGGGTCTGCCCGGGCCTCCCCTGCCTTAAGGCACCCTGTACTCTTACCTTACTTACTCTTACCTTATCATACTGCCTCTCTGCTCTGGGGTTGCAAATCTTCTGTGGCTGAAAAATCTTCCTTGGATGTGGGGACAGACCTTTTCAGTTAGAGGGGGAGACTCCTCTCAGCAGATGGCATTGGCTCCCAATCTTCCATGACAGCTTCCCAATTGACTTTCTGGGGAAGCTGGCAGGAAAAGATTTCCAATGGCAATCACATGATTACCAGGCGCTTGGCAAGTCAGCCATAATTGTGAATGGGTTGCCAGATGCCCAGATTCCAATTACATGACCATGGAGTGCTACAATGGCCACATCTTTGGTCATGGGTTCGGAAATTCCTTTGTTCAGCACCTTCATAATATTGGTCGCTGAATGAATGATCATTAAATAAAGACTACCTGTAGTACAGACTTTAAGACGGTCATGAAGCAGACTTCATGCTAAAATATTTTTCCCTTCTAGTGTGTCTCATCCTATTTTTAACACTTTACCTAAAGAAAAATAAAGCAAATTCATATAGCCTTTTGTGTCCTAAAATTTATTAACTAAGTAAAAAGATGTTTTATTTGTGAAGAATTTTAAGTTTAAAAGATTTATAGTTTAAGACTGTAAATAGAGCAGACTATAATTACATATAGACACATGAAGTGAAAAACTTTTCTCGTACTTTTCAGTTTTATTTAGTATCTTCTTGTTGAACCTAGAAAGCTTACACGCTATTATACTCTTTTGAGTTGATTTAATAAATTATTGGCCTGATATGGATTAATAAGGATTTAAATTAACAGTCTCATGTTATTTGATTCCTATAATGGGAATTATAATCTGAACCAGTTTAGTCAGCTTCTTTCACTGGACAATCATTTTATTTTTAATGTTTTAGAAATCAGCTTTAAACAAAACTTATTCTCCAAATCTTAACCATACTCTTCTATATGCCTCAAATATTGACAATTTTGATGGTGTACTAGCTGAACATTTGCCTTTGTTTCTCAATTGTGGCAATATATGGGTAAAGACAGAAGACTTAGGCAGTTGTGCAGAATGACTATCACATGTTGCAACTGGAGTCACACCCTTTTATCAACAAAATTGTAATTTGTGGAGAACTACATTTGGTTCATGAGAACATTCATTACTGCTAACAAAATGCCACCTGTAAGTCCTATACTACATCAACTGTCTTTCTCATATATTACACACACACACACACACACCTGTTATTCAGATAAAGCAATAACTAAACTGTTAAATATATTCATGTGGCAACTGCTAGCATTTTTATTCCCTTGAAACTGAAATACGAGCAGAAGGGGCCTATCTGGATCATGGGGAAATATTTCTCTATTGCTTGCAAAATCTGATGAATGATTTTGCAAGCAATCTGCAAACAATACCAAGTTTTCAAGGGCAATACTCATTATATGCAAACACATCTTTAAACAAGGATTTTATAGATGTAAAAAGATATAGCATTATTTTTCATTTTTTTCTCAAAAGTTAATTTCCTACCACTGGGATACATTATTACCTAATGGTTTTGTTAAATAGATTTTTAAGTTTTAAAAATTAAAACCTCAATTGAAAGGAGGATTTATAAAAAGGCTGCAGAATGTTTGTTGCATGCTGGCTAGGGAATTTTAGGAGTTGAATTCCTCATACCTTAAAATGGTCAAGATTGAGAAATGCTGCTTTAGCCACCCCACTTATATGATGGTCAGTAGTTCACAAACTCATATGCCTTTTATAAAATGCATTACTCTAAAAAATATCAAGTCTAATATCTAGCTGTAATCCCCCATTGTCACTTAAACACAGGCCCCAAATAATCTATTTTCACCCAGTTTTAGAAGCAAGATTAGAATCTAGAATATATCTTTCATTTAGCTCTGTAAAAAGGTTTATGGGCAGTATTCGATAAGTATCTAAGGGACAAATAATTTAATTTGACTTATCCATAAGTGGATAAACTAAAGAAGAAAACTCCAACGTATTTCAGTGTACATACAAGATGTAAATCTACACAGGATCAAAGATACTAGTAAGTATATTCCAAACAAATAGATTTTTCCAAGTTGGAGCCAAACATACTCCCAGAATCCTTAACAACCTCCCTCCTCTCAGCAGCTCAGCATAGTACAATACAACCCAGCACAACTTCTCATACTTTATCTCGAGCTATATAGAAAGGAGCAAAAGAGACGGATTTTAGGAATTGAGTAAAGGATCTGAAGTCGAAGCCTCCCCCAATTCGTTTCAGGGCAACTCAAGGTACTATGCCCCGTGGTCTTTATCTTATGGAAGGAAGCCAGTTGCAACTTGCTCACAAGGTCTCAGAACATGCAAAGGGACTTTCCCCTTCCAGCTGAAGAAATCCAGTCTGGCCGGATTGTCCATTTTCCAGAAAGCCCAATTTCTTCTCCCCCCCCCCTCTCACCTGCGATGTCCCAGAGCTGCAACCTGACCAGAGTCCTGGTGTCCCAGTTGAGGACTTTGAGAGCGAAATCCACCCCGATGGTAGCCCGGTAGTTCTGAGAGAAGAGCTGGTGGACGTAGCGCTTGATGATACTGGTTTTGCCGACACCCAGCTCCCCGATGACTAAAACCTTAAAGAGATGTTCCCGGTTCTCAGGCACTCCGACGCCGCCTCTCTCTGCTCCAGCCATTCTGGCTTCGCCACTCAGCCCGGCTTCCACCCTCCTCGACCCGCGCTCGTGGGAAAGCCCAGCACTGGCGGGAGCAAGGAAGGGAAGAGGGGGATAGCTCCCTCTCGCGTGGATTTCCCCACCCCACCAACTCCGGGAGTTTTCTTTGTCCAACGCCGCTTCTTTGGCGGGAAAGGATGTTCCCGACCGCCGGCAGGGACGGAGGGAAAAAAAAGGCGGGAACCACCTGACTGGAGTCACAGGACGCGGAAACCCGGCGAGTTATAAAACTTATGAAAGGGGCGGAGGCCGTTCGCTCCCCCTCTAAGAGGCGCTTCTTCGCTAGGGGAGGAAACTTAGGCAAAAAGTGCGTTTCGCTCGACGGCTTTTATTTTGAAAGGAAAGCAGTGCGGCGGTGGGGGGGAGCTGCGCGGAGATACATCAGCCAAGCGGGAGAAAGGCGTAGCCAGCTGTGTACTCTTTGATGCTCGCTGCAGGCGGAAACATGGAGCAAAATCCCTCCGGCGAGGCGGATGGAGGAAAGCAACAGCGCTTGTCTCTAAATAGCTCGGTTGCTACACTATAGGGTCGAATCGCCTTTTGCATTAGAATACAATAGAATAGCAGAATGGGAAAGGACCTTGGATAAGGTGACCAGATTTTCAGATTGGTAAAGAGGGACACCTTTGACCGGGGTGGGTGTGGGTGGGGGGCTTGATTAAAAATTTTATACGGAGCAACAAAAATTTTCATACAACACAAAAATACTATTATAATATATTTTTTATTTCAACATAACTACAATTTACAAATATAAATTGTAACTGTTGCCAAACATCCAAATTTTGATCACGTGACCATGAGGATGCTGCAACGGTCGCTAAGTGTGAAAATGGTCGCTAAGTATGAAAAATGGTCATCAGTCACTTTTTTCAATGCCATTGTAACTTTGGTCACTAAGCCCATTGCACCACCTTTCTTGCCAA